CACAGATGACTCCCAAACTAATCTGTGAGCATCTGCATATCTTGGTAAGTACTTCAGAAATAATACATGGGTAGAGAAATGGATGTGCAGATGCACTTAAATCTGTAACACATGTCGATTTTTCTCTACCTCAGAAACGTTAGAACTGTCCATAATATCATTCATTTGGCCCAGAAAACTTAAGAGTTCAAATTTAACTAATGTCTAGTCATAATGAAAAGATGAATTTTCAAATTATAGCTATGAAACAGGAATTATCCTCTCAGAGAAAACTAGAAAAATATGGGATTTAGTAACAACTAATTTAGACATAAAGCAGGTCATGATCAATTCAGTTTAATGTCAAGAAAATAATATCAAAAGTAGTTATCAACACGTCCCATACATCATCAGTGCAGACTTATTTTTAGTCACAATGTATAAAATTTCTTTGAAAGGCAGAGGTCCTGAACTGCTTTTCTGGGGAGAATGTAGATACACCAGAGGTATGGCAAGCCCATCTTCACAAATCCACAAGCTAACACTGAGAGGCTCCATGAGGAAACCAAGAATACCTATACCATCTGTGCACTTTTCGTTTTGGGGTTTTTCTGGGGGGTTTGTGGCTTTTTTTCCCAGCTGAGAGACAAATGGCTGTCCTTCTAGGAAAATGCTTCATAAAAACTGCTCATCTTTGAGCCTATGTGGAGATGACCAAATCTCTGGAGAAAAAAATGAACCCTCAAACATATATATATAATAAAATAGCATTATCCTGAAAGAGGGACAGATGTCACTGGTTTGTTATCTATAACAAAAAAGGAGCTGATCCAAAAATTTTATAGTGCTCCAAAACGTCTCATTTTTCCTGATATTAGTGTTCATGTTTACTGACACAGGATAAATTTGCCTTCTCTTAAAAGCTGTCCAGCTTTAAATGTTGATTTGACTGATCCATACAGAACTTTAAAGTCATCCATGTGCTAACACATTTATTGTAATAAAAGCACAGGCTGTGACTTATCACTGGGAGCTGTAGCCTGCTCCTTGGAAACAATATTACTCTGGCTTCAGCCAGTTCCCTGAATGACTGGGAGACATTCCATACTAATTTTGACAAAATGCTTTCAATGAAATCTGGCACCATACTTGCACAGCCTGCAATTCCACTGACTGCTGCACTCCAAGTCTCCATCAGAAGCTGCATGTGCTGGGCATGGATGTATCACAATGAGGTCATGCCCACTGATTATGGCTTTGCAGGTAGAACTGAAATATTATTTCTGAATGTGACCTTACCTGCAATTCAAGTCAAAGCATTTTTGAAAAAAATCTGCTTCCTCAGTGTCCAAATTTCACAGACCTAATGTGATCTTCGAAGCAACATGGTACTGACAGACTGGCTCTTACCAGAGCCCCTTAAGCACACATCTCTCCTCACTCAATTTGTGCAGCACAACGAAATCCTGCTCTTGAATGGGACATCATATTTCCAGCATATTAAGAATATTCTTAAAGAAGTTTCCATACACCAAAGGCACCAGTGAAAGAAAATATAAAGGAAAGAGGATCAGGGGAAATAAGGAGCAAGAGAGCGTTGAAGGGCAATATTTATTCCTATCTCTTTAACTGTATTCTTACTAAGTATCATACAGATTTAGAGACCACAGCTTAACCTTCTAACCATATGAAATACACTAAAATAATCCATAAAATATTCAAATTAATTATCAATTATTATTGATAATTAATATAAATATCAATAAATATTGTATTGATAATGAATCTTGTAGCAAAATTCTTTTCTCTGTTTGTAAGGTTTCTTTGCTACATACAAAAAACTGCTGCAGTATCACTCTCCTTCTGCACAGAAAGTTCATTTCATCTGTTTTTATAAACAGACTTCTCAAATAAATTTTTTTCCAAGTTCAACTGCCTGGTTGTTCTAGCAGCAATGATAGTGGACAGGCGTATCAGTTTGGGAAATGGGAGATCATCTTGTATTCAATCTTATGGAGCAGGGGTCCTTAAAATGGGAAAATTAAAGCTTCTTCCTTCTTTGCCTAGCACAGTTGGCTTCAGGGGAACTTGAAATCATGGCCAGGCTTCAATAGCTTTTACTTGCTTAACATAAGATCAGCTGAGTGGCTTGGGACAATATTTACAACTAAATTTAACCCAATTTAATTATGTGTAAAGTCATGTAGAGAAAAAAACATCAAAAGATGTTTCTGTAAAAAACTAATTTACTGACAGTATTGGAGAAGTGCAAATCTTGATTTTGTCTTATTTTTGTTCACATGAATCCAGACGATACCTTTCCCTTATAAACAAAGCCTACTGGATACTGAAGGCTCTCAGATTTTATTAAATATACAGAATTTCTAAAAGCTAAATAGCAGAATAGAATCAACATTTTGGTAAGAAAAATATAGGCCTTACTAGAATGAAACTATTTCAGTCCTTCCATAGCCAACAGTAATAATCCTGAGAGCATCAGATCACATAACCTCTCCACAGAAAAGGTCTGTACTGTCTGAGGGCTATCTAAGGTTGGGATGCTTCCAGAGGCAAACCGTTTACTCAGAGGCAGATTTGGTTACAGCTCATGTTTTTCCAAAAGGCAGCTAGCTTGCTTAAGGCCTTTAAAAAAAATCCTTTCCCTAGAGCTCATCCGCCGGGCTGTTTGGGCTGAGTATTTAAAGCAGTAGCAAAGTGCCAAGTCAAAAGCAAAGAATTTGTTTCTAAGAGAAGCAAGGAAAAGACAAAGAGCAAAAGTTAACGCTGCAGACTATTGCAAGCTTCAGAGAATACAAAACAATTGCCTTAGAGACAGCTAAAAATACCTTCTTGTAAGACTGCTTGCTCTTCTGCCAAAGGCATGCAAAACACCGAGAAACATTTGCAGAATCAAAATATTTATACTACAAAGTAGCAGTTTGTACTTTAGAAACTCATAGCTAATTAAGTTGGAACTACATTTTTCATAATACAGACAAAAGAATATCAACCACAGCCATAAGTAAAATACTGGTTTCGTTGCAAGCTTAATGTTAAAACAAAACAACAAAAAAAAGTCTAGCATTTTTTTCTTCTCTAGATCACAGTTACCTTGGTATAACTATCAATAGTTACAAGATAAAATATAATTTTACTTTCTAACCTTCTCTTTGCTACAACATGAGTTGTACTAGAATGCACCCTGAAAAAAATAAAAGAACTGTACAAAAAAAAATGAAGTCACCTGGCCTCACAGGAAGCTTTATAAATGATTGTTCTATATACTCAAAAAACTTGTCTCAACTTAAAATTCAGTATAACTGTTCATTTGTAGTCCAGGGGAACACAGAAAGTTAAAGGTTTATAGAGCTCAAACTTCAGAGAAGCTTTAATGGGAAGTGTCAAGTTCAGCTCTTTTGTTAATTATGAGCATCAGAAAATCTTGCCTTTTTATGGGGAAAAAAACAAAGACAAGTGATTTAAATCATGATCAGAGTGAAAATTCACTTTTGAAAATCCAAGTTTTCTTGCCATATTCAGCAAATGCCAAAACGGTATTTACAGCAACATCAACAGTGCAGCTGTGAGGCTGCCAATATTGCCTCCAACTGTGTAAAACACGTTTTTCTTCCTTCTTTTTTGAAGGCTTTTCTTCACTTTTCCCCTTCCAAAGACACAACATTTAGCAAGAATTCAACATTTGTATCACTGGCGAAACAACTTGTTCAGCAATCATTAATTGCCAGCTCCTACATTTATTTTTAATTGCTCTCTTTTGTTGTAACCCAAGACAGAAAACCAAAAATTGATACAAGTGGGTGCCAGCCAAAATTGTGTGCCAAAAATAAACCTGCTTCTAAGTAAGGCCTAAAACTGAGATTATTGTAGGCTTTCAGAAAAAAACTAATCATCAACAAAACAGTTTGCTGAACTACAGTAAGCAATTCCCAGTAAGAGAATGGTAAAGCAGCAGAAGTGGAAAAAGAGCAAAGTGCTGAAAGCATTTATATTGTCTGTGCTACTTGATTCATTAGCTGCAATTTCAATACTTCCCCAGAATGTCTTCTTCCTTTGCATGCTAATGAAAAGGCAGAACTGTGCAAGACAAACTTTTGGTGCTACAAACTGGTTCTATCAAATGGTGAGGTTTGACTCTGGAGATGTGTATCCCTTCCCTAAAAGGCAAAGTGAGGTACAATGAATATTAAGGAGTAAAAGATGAAATCTTGTGACTCAGTCTTCTGTTCATCTGCAACAGCAACTGCCTCCATCATTCTCTTCACGTTGGCATCATCAAAAAATAAAAAAAACACATCTATTGAAGTGAGCTAATAGCATCAGCATTAATCACTAGAGCAAAATGTTTTATCACCTAGGAATAGAGATGAACAGCAAGTTTCCACATTCATGTTGTTTACTTACAAGGCCTTCAAAGAGATGGTTATGTTCTTCTTTTAACAGGTAAATCAATACCAAACGTCTTCTACCTTGGTGAAAGACTAGACATGTCGCACTACACTTCTCCCCAGAGCTCCTCACAATAGAAGAGTTGTAACCAAAAGCACTGATACTCAAAAAAATTCACCTCTTTTAAGCCTCCAAGGAATTTACATGAACGTCCCAGAAACCCAAAGATAATCCGAATCTATTCTTGTAAAATCAAGACACCGACTGGCAGATGCACTTAGAGTAGCAAACATCACAACTTCCAACTGGCTAACGTGTGGAACTGGAAATCAGACACAGAGGTCATGCATGTGTTCCTGTAATTACATTCCAGTTTTGTGACTTGTTTTCTAGTAAAGAAGCCAGGCAGATATAGCTTCTATTGCATTTCTTGTGTTACTACCTTAAAAGATCCTGCCTTTCAAACTGCTGGTGAACATACGCACACAAACACCATCTGACCTGGCAAAGCAGACTGTGTAGTGAAGAAAAAGAAATACACATTTTGGAAACAGGGTTTTATTGAAACTTATCAAAAACGTCTGAAATCTAATGCAAGAAAAGCATTTCAGACTTTAGTCCCTTTTCCTTTTTGCTTTGGGTTTTTCTGACAGCTGAGATAATTCACTTTCTTCAATTTCATCACAATGCTTTCTTTTCTTTTTCTTTGATTTTTTATGGTCACTTTGGTAACCGCTGGAATCACTGGTAGGCAATACAAGTTCCTGTTCTCCTTGCTTGTCCTTTTTCTTTTTCTTCTTCTTCTTTTTATCATCACATGATCCATTCACAACAACAACACTTTGCTCTTCTTCATTTTCCCTCCCAGGGTTACCCGCCTCATTTAAAGGCTCTTCATTGACATTATCTTCCCCACAGTTATTCAAGCCATTTTCCTGGTGGTCAAACTTTTGAATTTCATCCCCGTTTGTACTTTCAGTGGCTGTGTTGGATTTTTTGGGCCGCATGCTGTAAAGAAATATACAAAATAAACTGGATTAGAGACATGTTAGGGCACCTCACATAGTGAAATGTCAAAAATTGCTAAAACATGTATTTATACCAAGCAGGTAAACATTTGCTAAAAACAACAACAAATGGAGAACATGATACTCTGTGTTACAGAGCATCATAATGTTTAATACTCTCAGGATAATTTCTGTTACCTTACTAGCTTCCTTCTTACCACATAATAAATGTTCTCTTTCAAATCTTAGCCTAAATTTCTTCTCTACAGTGCCATACAGACCATTTGGTATTTCCTCTTTTCTTGTGCTTCTTCGTCCTCTAATTCATAATTACACATTGAGTAGTAAAGCTTTTTTGGGTTTTTTTTAAGTCATTCACAAAACCACAGAGCTAGTGACCTGTTCGGTTATATATGAGGCACGCTGCTGATTTTACCAAGCAATTACCCTGCTCTAATTAAAACAAAGGTGATGCCAGAAAAGTTAAAAAAAAAAAAAGAAGAAGAAACCTCTACCAAAAAAACCCCACCAAATCCCTCCCCTCCCACCAGCAGGTACCTTGCAACCAAGAGCACTGGGAAAAAATGTCTAAGAAGACAAATATGGAAAGAATGCATTTAAAAACCATGGAGGTTTTTATGTCCCCAGTGGCACTGAAGACAAAATTGCTAACCTGAATTGTAAATTCACTGAAATCATCCAGAGCATCCTTCCAGATTAAAAAAAAAAAGAAACAAACAAAAAATGCTATGAATTTGCCAGTAGGACTCATATTATACATTTAATCAAAACCAAAACCATGTTGAAAGAAAATCCTTGCTCAGTAAACGACTGTTTTAAAAGAAAAATGTGAATGAACTCCTCTGAAGACAAGATTTCCTGCAAGGTGCCCTATAAATTTAGAGAGGCCTAAGGAGGAAGTTGACACATTTTCTCATCTTTGAAATTCTCATGTTTCAGCAAGTATTTAAGTCATGTATTTGTCATTATACAATGCACATGCAGGTGTTTGTGTGTAACTGTCAATGTAACCACTTTGTTCAGGAGCCCTGGACTGTTTGCACTTGAAAAGCCTATGCACAAAGCTACTCTTAGACACATGGATGGGTTATATATGTATTATATGTATTATATATATATATACATGTATTACATGTATTATATATATATATAGTTACATAGGGATTTGTGTAAAAATAAGAAAGCTGAAAGATTAAGATGTAATTAAAATCACTTAGCTCATAAAAAATATATTAAATCAATTAAAAATGTTCTCTATTAAGGCACCGTACCTGCTTTTAGTGAGTCCTCCTCGAATGAAGAACACCCCAGCTGCATCAGAATCCAAGTGCAACACTTGAAATTTCAGCTCATCCCCTATTTTTAACCCCAGCTCTTGCCACTGTACAATGGACATTTGTTCAGGCTTAGGGATAGATGCATTGAAGCATCCATGTATCAGGCAGCCAATATGACTAGGGGCCACTTTATTAATTACACCCTAAAAAAGAAAAAGAATGTCATGCAAATCTAAAGCAAAAATCAGCCCTTTCAATGCACATCCTTTAAATATTTTGTTTCCTATATGGAACATATTCAGTAAGAGTTTATGTACAAGTTATGAAGTCAGTTTATCTAGCAATCAGTAAATGCTCCTTCACTAAAATCAAAGCTATTCCTGTAAACTCTTCACACAATTCCTCTGAAAATAGAACTGAACTGCAAGAGAAGTCAAAACATGGCCTTTAGCTACAGTGAATACCTAAAGAGAGTAGATAACTCTTTCCTTACACTACAATGATCAACTTTTCTTTGAAGCCATTTTAAGTCTGACTTACTTGCCTAAAATGCTCTTCAAGCTGGCACAGCAGTTTTTAGCAGCTGAAGATAGGGAAGACATATAAAAAGCTTCTAAATACTCTATTCAGTGGGTTTCTGACACACCTGAATATGAAACCATATTTTTTTTTACCCGTACTTTGTTTTACCCATAGAATTAATGACAGACACTGAAAATTTTTCTATTCTCTTCCTAGGAAGATGGCACATTCATCCTCAAACACAACTATCAAGACACCAGCTGTGCTGCAAAAGGTATGGCACAGCAATGAATGTAAGCCAGCTCCCAACCTACTTTACCCACAAGTGCTAAGCAAGGGTTTTGACAAACTTAAAGCTGTTCTGTGGGCCATACGCCTCCTTTAAGGAAAGGCAGGCTCCAACTCCATGTACTGCTCTTGTGCTTGAAGGAACCAAACACTAGAGAGCATCCTCATCATACTTGTCACTATAACAAGTGCACCTGTTTGACAATCATCTGCTCTTCAGAAAGAAGCACGGGTATGATATATGTGGTTGTGATACACTATTAAATACGCAATCCTTGTGATACGATGGTTCAGTAATATAGAATTATATGTAAATTCAGGAAACCTAGGGACGGACAAAACAGCCAGATTACAGTAAAAAGTACCAGTACAAGATACCAATAAATTTCTATTAACTACTCACAAATGAATAAGCTGACATAAACTATGTCTCCAGCTAACCACCTGATGTTGGAGATAAGCCAAGCTTTGACCACTTAATAAAAAAAGCCCGTCCCGTGAGACGCCAAGGCGTTCGCATACCACCAGCTTCTTCCCTTTCTTGGGGCTGAAGATGATGAAGTCCGCCTCGATGTTCAGGTGGATGAATCCCTGGTCGTCGTAGATGTCGCCGAGCTCCCCCACCACTTTGATGTTGTCGTAAGCAACCGGCACACCCTGCAGGCTGGAAGGACAAGGAGGGGGGCACGGTTAGCTGCCAGGCCGAGCCGGCCCCCTCAGCCCGCGGCGGCCCCGCGGCCGCACCTCTCGGAGTAGCGCAGGAGCTCCGCGTCCAGCTGCGCACGGATGCCGGAGCGCTTGCGGCCCAGGAAGCGCGGGGGCAGCGCCACGTGCCGCCGGTGCGGCGCCGCCACCAGGCACGAGTAGCGCCGCGCCACCAGCGCCCGGGCCGCGCCGAAGGACGGGGCGGCGGCGGCGGCGGGCGGCAGCGGCTCCCGCGGCACGGCCATGCAGCCACGGGCCCGCGGCGCGCAGTGATGCCGTCAGCGCCTCCTCACCGCCGGGGCGGGCCCGGCCGCGGCCGTGACGGAGTTCCGTGCGGGGGGAGGGAGGCGGGCGGTGTTCGCGCTCCGGAGGTGGGCCGTGCCGCCGAGAGCCGCGTGAGAAATCTTAAACTGTTTCCGAGCGATTTTACGTGTCGGAGTGACAGGGTATTCTGAGCTGGGAGGACCATCGAGTCCGGCTCTTAGGTGAATGGCCTAGGGGCATCGGACCCGCGCCGCGCTCGGAGCAGCCTGGCGGAGCCGCCCCGGGAACCCACACCCAACTCGGGACACGAGATGTGTCACGGAGGCCTTGGAGGTTTAAATGCGGCGTTTGGGGATTCAGGCAAAAGACGCAATGACAAATTACCTTAGCGGTCTTCTCCATATACAGCAATTTTAAGGATATAGAATTGTCTTCGGTTGCTAGACCCCAGTTCCAGTTTGTGCATATGGTGAGAAATAGTTAAATGCGTTTAATAACCACAGACTGAGGAGAACAAAAATACATACGAGTCCTCAAAAGGGTTGCTGGTGCACTCAACAGTGCAATTATTTACAAAGTGAGCTGCAGTACTACAAATACAAAGCTTGTCCAGTTCTGAATGATGGAATTTGTGGCTGGTTAGTGAAGACTGTCCAGAAAAGTTACTCGGATTTTTTATCCACACAAAGCAGCGCAGTATGATTTTTCTTTAAACTGATTATACTGAATTAATGCAAAACGTTCAAAAGGTGTTCTCTCATTGATTTAAATCGAATTTATATCAACTAACTTGCTATAGTAAATGTACACGTACAAACTGATTGAATCCACATGGGGAGTTACAAAAAAAAAGAAAAAAGAATTGATGTGTCCGTTTCATTAAAGGTATTAAAATTCTTACTATGCTGTGGAGGGCTCAGAAACACTGTAGTTTTGTGAAAACAAGCCTTATGTCAGATAGCAAAAGTCCTTGAACTTCTTATACATTTAGTGATGCAAAAGCCTTTGAAGCTACTCAAATACTACATCACCAGAAAGTTTTCTCTGACTGAACATACTGTGAAGACAGGACATTGTTAGCTTTCACAAGTAAAACAAATGGTAAAATTTGCAGTACTTTACTGCAAGTAAAGTTGGATTAGTGTGAAAGAACTGACATAAAAATGGCTTTCAGATGTCATACCAAACTCCAAAATTGAAAGAGAAAATGTCTTGAACTACTGTAATCTGTATTCCTATGTGGCTTTAGTCCTCCAAGGTATTTAATGTCTGTTGAAATTAATTTTATGTTATATGGTCTCAGCTTTCTGGAAAAAATATTGTATTTTTTATTTCAACTATTTGGATCATATTTAAACCTTGCAATGTGCTTTCAATCTTGGTTAAAGACCTTAAACAATAACTCCATGCACTTCTATTCCTAAAAGAAATATATGTTTTATTACTCTTATTTATGAGTGGATTTAGTTTGCAGTGAGAACATATAATATACTAAGGGCTGTACTCAGTTTTATCCAGGATAATAAAAACCTACCTTTGCTCCTAAAATAAAAACTAAGAATGAGATGGAAAGGCAATATGAACAAAAATATGGACCTTTTTCTTTCACCCTGTAGTCAGGTTGGCCAAGATAGTGTCAGAAGAACTCTGTCTCTCTGTACCTGCAGCTATCCAAGGTTATCCCCATGGACTCCTGTCACCAGAAAATTCCCTATAGAGACTGAGTCTGTACTTTCTAATTGAATCTCCATTTATCCCTGCTACTGTGCCTGGTTTTCATTGCACAGTGCTCTTGGGACTTCCAGGATTCTGTTCAGGCTAAAGTAATCGGGAGAATGAACTTTAAATGCTAATGGTCATTAAGTCTGTGTGGTAGGCCAGAGATAGGCCAGACATAATTCAAAATAGCCTGTTTGAAATCCTTTAACTGTAAATACCTGGCCTCAGCACCATCTGTTTTTCTCTGCAAGTCCACACCTGTCAGGTCTCGCTGCTTGCTGATGCAGCATGGTCTGTCTGTACCAAAAGCAGTGTTGTCTTGCAGTCTTGAGACTTCAGACCCATGGTATGACTTGGACTCACTACTTCTCTGTAAAAGATGCTCTGATGAAAGAAGGAATCTCAATCCAAATGCCACCTCCTCCAGCCACAGACCAGTTTTTAAAACCATCTAGTCCGTAAGACTTAAACCCTGATATCCCCACATTAATTTCTTAGCTTTTTCTTCCTTAGTTGTATATCTTTTCACTTCTTTGTGTTAGCATTCAGCTTAAAGAGTCTTGTCTCAGCTGACCTTTCAGCAGCACTGCAGTGAGCCTGCGTCCAAAAAGGCATCTAAAATCAATGTTTAGAATCGCACAGCTATTGGTATGTTTGCCAAGTCCCACAGTGGCTGATAAGACTCTTCTGAGCCTGTTTTTCTCTAGAAATCAGGTTGCAAGTAACAATGAGGACCAAACCCAAAAACTGCATTTGCAGTCACTGCTGTTCCTTTTCTTCCTCTTTAATCTGAGTTAGTCTTGTTTTCTCTGTGAAAGGAAAGCCAGATTCCAAAAAGGAGATTCCTTGACAACCACAATTTCAGCAGCTCTCAGCTGTGACTGTATGACCATATGGTCTTTTCTACCCTTTTCTACCCATACAGTCACTGCCATCTTATATCCAGTTTTCTGAATTGACAATGTATTTTGGGTAGAAAGTTCATCCAATTGTTTATTGATGCTCTTTTGTGGCCGGTGCAACTTCTTCATTCTGAGGGTGGCAGCCTTAAAATCCTGTAAGTCTTAGCTGTGATGAAATACAGTGCATCTGTATTTCAATTTTAAATCCACTCATGCAGAGTGGACGAATACTGGGAGCAGTGTGCTGGAGTAGGAAATACACTCCCCCTTAGGACTGTGTGCCCAAAGGAATTTGTGCATTTTGAAATTTATTCCATCGCAGGTTCCTTATCCCACCTGTTGTACTCTATAATAAACACAAAAATGAAGAAATGCCTCAGTTGCATAGATTGTAAAAAAAATAAAGGTACAAAACTTCTGCTCTGATTTTTTTTCAAATATTTTAGCTGGCTTCTCCTTTTTTCATTTTTAACCCTACAGTATTTCTAATAACATTTCTTCCTGTCATACTTAGAAGGAAGTATCAGTACTCAAACTCTCAGTTTTGTTTTTGAAGTTGGGTGGTAATAGGTCTGCTTCAGTATCTTTGACCCTCATGTCAAATAGAGACTAATCCTAGCATGTTTGGTCATTGAGAACTAAGCGTCCAAATGCCACAGAGAATTGTCAGCTTGTGGTCCTATATATGGATTTCTGTTAGGCTAGTTTTGTGGAATTTATTTTTGAGAGGGTGACCATTCAATTATGTGTAAAATCTGTCAGTGCAAAGGGTTAGCTAAAGTTAGCAACAGTTACAATAGTAAAGGCTAATTTGACTGCAAGTGTGAGAGGAATTAAGTTGTTACTGTCAGGCAAACATTAAGTTGAGCAAATACAGGATGAAAATATGAAACTGTCAATGGCCAAAGATGGTAGATACTCCTGACAGTGTATCAGAACTCTCTTTATTTGTACTTACACAAAATGTACCAAATGCTGAAAGTCCACCAGATGGCACACGAAAGCCTTGGTATGGAAAAGTGTCATTGTCCAAGAGACTGAGAGGAACTGCAGGCCTGGCTGAAAATTTAATCTGTGTTACACTATGCAGACTGCTTTGTTTTGTCAGCAATTAGTAGGTCAATCTCTAATAGCTAGGAAATGACTTAGAAAAACATTAAGGGAAAAAATATGCGATAAGACAGCAATTATGTTAATTTCTTTCAGCAAATAATTTGTCTTGATTTGTAGTGACATACATGATGTAAGTGGTTGGAGTGAGTCCAGAGGAGGGTTACAAGGATGATCAGAGGGCTGGAGCATCTCTCTGTGTAGACAGCCTGAGAGAGTTGGGGTTGTTCAGGCTGTAAAAGACTCCAAGGAGACCTTACAGCACCTTCCAGTACCTAAAGGTGACCTACAAGACAGCTAAAGAGGGAGTTTTAACAAGGGCCTGCAGTGGTGGGGCAAAGGAGGAATGGCTTCAAACCAAAAAGAGGTGATCTTAGATTAGATATGAGGAAGAAGTTATTCCTTGTTAGGATGATGAGGTACTGAAACATGGTGCCCACAAAAGTTGTGAATGTCCCTTCCCTGGAAGTGTTCAAGGCCAGATTGGATGGGACTTGGAGCCAATGGAAGGAATCCCTCCCCACAGCAGGAGGAGTTGGAACTAGATAGTGTTTCAGGTCTCTTCCATCCAAACAATTCTATGACGCTGTTCTTGGGATGGACGTCTTTGAGCAGTTGGGGATTGACTAGATTTGTCATTGGTCCTTGATTCTCTAAGTAGGTTTTTGTCCACTGGAAAATTGCTGACGATCACTCTTGTGGAGATAAAATACGTTGTCTAAAAATATATTACTGAAAGACCTGTGTTCAAGTAGCTCCCTGGCCTTATATCTGTAGAAATAAGGAACCTGATGTAGGATGCCTGGTGCTGACTGTGATGCCCCTCTCCAGCTCTACTGGTGCTTGAAGGCATGGTTTCAATAGCAGAGACATTGTGACCTGTGGAAGTCTGGCTGCTGGTCTAATGCTGAAACTCTCCTGTGTATTTCCAGCCAGTGAGAGAGGTGTGTTCAGATAGTGGGTTAAATATTATGATAACGTGACTTTTCTCATAGAAACAAGAGGTGATGTTGCCACAGAAACAAGGGAGAAGAGCAGCCTGTGCCACTGTAAGAACAGTAAGGCTTTTCTACAGCACTCTGAATGCTTCTGATGAGTGATGCTAATGAATGAGATGGATGCTCAGGTTGTAAATGGGGCAAATGAGGTGTCTTTTGACAATCTGTCTGTGCTGTTTTGCAGTTTATGCTCTTAGAAACTTCTAGCAACCTTTTACTCTGGTGTTTTTAAAATTGTCAAGAAAGATGAGA